CACTCCCACAACAGAGTCAGAGATAGCGATTAATACGCCACCGCCACGTAAAATGGAGCCATAAACTCTGTCCGCACGACAAACTATGTAAGTTTCAGGAAAACAATTATGGTTAGCAAATGAATCGTTTAACCAGGTTTCGGTTAGGAAAATAATTTTAAATCCAAAAGAGCACACATTATCATAGACTACAGATGATTTACTCCTGAGGCCACGCACATTTTGGTAAAGAATGTTAAGGTCGTCGTCACAAGGTATGGCTCTACTGATACCCCTATGAGAGATGGTCGACTAAACAGGGAGAGGCGCCTCCTCCACACACCCCATCATCACCTTTAGAAGCATCAGAGGGCACTGCATGCATAGGCAAAACCCGTGAACTACATACAGAAAGAACGGGGTCATCCGGGGAATAAATTTCGTAAAAGACGGAGCAATTAAGCAATTAAGAAAAGTCTTCCTCATTTACAGAAACACAAAAAGAGGCATAAGACTTAAATTTGGTCTTAAGCCTGGTACAAATCAGTAACGTTAAATTAAGTTGCTCCAGAAGAGATTTTTCAACATCTTTTTCGGAGACGTCCGCAGAAAAACGAGAAACAAAAAGTGATTTAGTTCGGGGTCTTTTGGCAATTATGGGGAGGGTGGAAACACTTCTAACCTCAATCAAAGGGACCCTATTTCCACGCGGTGGCTGAGTAACATTGGTGGGGGCTTCTTTCCCGGACAATGCCTTCTTCTTTTTGCCGACGACTGTCACAAATCCATCGCCGGAAGTAGTAGGACCAGCAACATCAGCATTCTTCCCGGCCGTAGACTTGACAGGAAAGGCGCTGATGTCATTAACACTAGCAGACACAAAATGTTGAACAGACAAACGGGCGGCAGCCACTTCACTGTAGGACTTAGCTGCTGGGGCAATGACCTAACAGATGTAGAGGGCCCAGGAGGTCTATCTGATGGCACCTTTAGGTCCCTTATCTGCCTTCTCATATCTAAATTTTCACATTTAAGTAGAGTAACCTCTTCAGAGAGTTTACCCACTATGTCTACAAGAATCTGTAACATATCAATGGTGGTCTTGAACACTGAGTGTATCAGTACTATTAATATCTCGGCAAGGTAGTACAGGCTAAGGAGAAATGATCTTCGTTGAGTCAGACAGCGATACGGACCGTTGTGTCGTCTGTCCTTGTAGATTTCCCTGTACTGGTACAATTTGAGCACTTGTAAGATGATTTTCCCGAAGCCATGTAAAAAGCTAACTCAGCTTCACCAATTTTAAGAGAGGAGCAGTGAAAACGAATGTCACAGTCACCACATCCCAAACTCTTCTGCTTCCCATAAAACGGCCTCTGGAACAAAGAACACAAGTCCTCATTGGCCACCATAACGGCTAAAGTTGTTTGCGCTCACCGCAAGCACTGATCGATCACAGCAGAGCCGGAGCACAAGCAAAACACGTCCATTCGCTCCGAGCAATAATCATTTAATATTATTTTCAATTAGAAATAATATTGCAGTGGGATAGCTCAAGGGGTGATTTCAAATGACAGAATAAACAGAATCTTTTTACATGGCTAATTGTTACATGCTTTTTGGAGATTTAAGTTTTAAGTATTGTCTCTCAGCAACCGAACTTCATTTGAAATGTCATTATTTGCAGTGACTGAAAACGAAGCACTAAATAATAAATTTCTCAGTTTTAATTTTTAGAAAGACATTTTTCATACGTTAAATTATGAATTATCACAAAAGAAAGTAATCCAATAAACACAGTTTGAGCTAAATGACCTTTGGCTGAGATCATTGAAACTGCATTTTCTTTCATTAGAAACAAGTATTTACAGGCAGGGAAATTCCTACTCTATGTAATGCATTATATACCTTACTTTTCTCTGCATGACTGGATTCTGTGGTACAAAAAGATTCCCTGTAATGTGTATGTGTGTGTGTTTGAATGTTTAACACAAAAACATTTCATATATAGGGTAGCCCAGGACAGAATAGGGAACTTAATTTTTGGAGGCATGTAAAAGTGACAATAATAGAGATAAACACATGGAGGAATCTTGTGTGGATTTATTGTCTATTTGAAATTTCTAATGAGTTATTAGTTTTGGTGTAAGGGTTACAGTTTCTTTTAAATATTATTTTTATATAAAAATGTTACGTGCCTCATTTTGCCCCGTGTCCGGGGCAAGACGGGATATGCTTAATAGATGTTTCAAAAAGTTGAAGGAAGACAGGGTATGTAATAATTATGACGTAGGATATAAAATGATGAAATATACAATGTAAGATCTATAAATAGGCTCCAAAAATGTCGGAAAATTTATACATTTTAAGTCTACTTAGGCCTAACACAAACAGCACACATGTGCACCTTTTATCATCGTAACCACCAACAATTGCACATGAGTTATGAGCCCATTTTAAGCAAGATGAACACTGGATCCCCCCTTCAATAAACTGCGAATAGACATCGCCACAATACAGTCACTCGTCATCTTGATCCTCTTCTCTACTTTCACTAGGGGCAAAACGGGGTATCCCATTCTGTCCTACTCCATCCAGCCCCGAATATATTCTTTCAAATTAGGATTGTCCCACCAAAAATGAAGTCATGAAAATAAATAAAAATTTTGTGTTTAAGACTTTCAAAGAAACACCTGGTAACATACATCGTTTAACAAAGTGGATATGGATAATAAATAGGTCTTATCTTCACTGGAAGATGAGGAAAATTTGTAAGATGTAGGAGCGAAATCCAGCATGGGTGATTATTTCAGAAACTGTAACCACAAAATGGTGCTGACTGACATGACATGACCCTGTGCTGTATGCTAATGAAACTTCACCCGGTCCCGATAGATTGCAACGCATTGCAGACAAAATAAAGCCTATAGCCTGTTCTGCCTCGTCACCCCGTCCTGCCCCAGTCTCCCCTAATGTTTATCCATGTGTCATGATTTCTAATTGAATGATTGTTGCTGTGATCACTTATGATCATATTACTTATCCTGATGCCGTCTTTCCTGGTAGTTCAGTTAAAGAAGTTTTTAGTTTATCCTCATAAATTTTTTCTTCATTGATCGCAATAGCCGGACTATAATTGTGGACAACGGGACACTTCCCTAACATTTCTTGCAGCTGTTGGATAAAAACCTATCAGCCAATATCATACATTACAGTGTCTGGATTAATAAGTAGAAGTCTCTTCAAACCAAATGTAAAGGTCAAAGTTATCTATTGTGTCACTTATCCGAATTCAGTCACGTTACTTTACCCTGAATGAATGCATTATTTACATTTCTGAATTAATACTTTCATATTATAAGTGACTGGCAATTAATGAAGTCATTGTGGGAGAGAAGTGTATTTGAACGCATCTAGTTTTCAAAAATTATTATAGGGTATTCATTGAGATTCACTAATGAATAAGAGTAAATATAACGTGTGTTGACAAACAGTAAGCTCGCTACTCAATTGTATCTTGCTTGTAAATTACCAGAAGGACATAAATACCAGTTCTAGTAAGTAAATTAAGCACAGAAATTCCTACAGAAAATGAGAAATCCTTAATTAACTTTCAGGAGTTTACAAAACTCACTTACCATCTCCTACGCCATCTTCCACGATTTTTTCTTTTACCACCTTCCCCTTGTGTGCCTTTTCATTTTTCTCACATTCTCTAGTGTTTCTCGTATCAGGTGCAGTAACCAGGGAAGTTATCTATGATAATGTCGCTGCTAGCATTTGCCTTTCAGCGTCTGCGGGAATACAACTTTCTCTTTTGACACAAAAGGTGTGTTTTTGACGTAAATACGTCTATATTTTAGGGTCAGTGTCATTCGGCAAAAATGTGTTTTACGAAAAAGTGTTACGAAATAGTGTTACGAAAAAGTGTTACGAAAAACGGAAACGAAAAAGTGTAACTTCATTGTTATGTTACTTAGGAAACCTCATCTGTTTACTCAGCATTGTTGTTACCTAGAAAACCTCGTCTGTTTACTCGGCATTATTGGTACCGTGGAAACTTAATCTGTTTACTCGGCATTATTGTTACCTAGGAAACGTCATCTGTTTACTTAGCATTGTCATTACCTATAAAACATTACATTACTCTACCTTACCTTACATTACATTACATTACCTTACATTACATTCATATACCACAGACCCATCAGAAGCCTTACTAATTCAAGTTAAATAAGCAATGTCTTAATCAAACTTTACTCAATTGTAAAGCATGTATAAAGGAAATATTTAGAATAAAGTCAATATATAAACATCATTTCCGTATAGACGTATTTACGTCAAATTCTCCGGAACCGTGGTTCCACTGACAACTTTTTTCTTGTCGTCAAAATTATTGTGATTGCAGCTAGTAGCCCATCCCTGCTCGTGTTACTTCGGACACTGGTGGACTGGAAGTGCTGGCTAGGGTCTGCCAACAGAGGACTCTCGGGCGAGATTATTCAAGCCATTGCCCTAGACACAAATTTCTGTAAGCTTCAGATGTCATAGAATCATTTCAGATAGATTTTTTACATGCTGTTATTTCCATGAAGATATTTCTGTCAGTTATACACTGCGTTTTTGACGTAAATACGTCTATATTTTAGGGTCAGTGTCATTCGGCAAAAATGTGTTTTACGAAAAAGTGTTACGAAATAGTGTTACGAAAAAGTGTTACGAAAAACGGAAACGAAAAAGTGTAACTTCATTGTTATGTTACTTAGGAAACCTCATCTGTTTACTCAGCATTGTTGTTACCTAGAAAACCTCGTCTGTTTACTCGGCATTATTGGTACCGTGGAAACTTAATCTGTTTACTCGGCATTATTGTTACCTAGGAAACGTCATCTGTTTACTTAGCATTGTCATTACCTATAAAACATTACATTACTCTACCTTACCTTACATTACATTACATTACCTTACATTACATTCATATACCACAGACCCATCAGAAGCCTTACTAATTCAAGTTAAATAAGCAATGTCTTAATCAAACTTTACTCAATTGTAAAGCATGTATAAAGGAAATATTTAGAATAAAGTCAATATATAAACATCATTTCCGTATAGACGTATTTACGTCAAATTCTCCGGAACCGTGGTTCCACTGACAACTTTTATTTAATATTGGTTCTCATGTTCATACTGCGGGCGTATGTTACATTGACTTGGTTATTGCTGCATTTGGGCTGAAATCATATTTATTTAATATTGTACGTTGGACTGAGGTATTAATTACATAACGTGCTTTTTAACTAATATCGTATTGATTTAAAATTGTACATTCGGACTAATATATCGAGTTAATCACTGTTTCTTTTGGCTTGAGCTAATTACGTACATCCTTCTAGGGGAGAATGGGTAAATGGCGGTAACTTTAGATAAAACGAAAAGTATACTCAAAGTTTAAACTTTATATAAACTGACATTTAGTGTGAAAGGTCTACTTCTTAAGTATGCAGTATAAAATACGTTGAACGTAACAAAAGATCTATAGGAAATGATAATTGAAGACGTAGCTTTGACCGGTATTCCCTATCCTTAGGGGTAATGACGGTCACTATTTGAGCTTCAAGATGTCACTGAAATAAATAAGATAATGAGTGAATAAAATGTGTTTTCTTATTAAGTAATAGGCATATATCTTACTTTACAAAATATGTAGACGTCTAAATCGTTTGAACGAACAAATTCTAACAGAATGTTAAGATAGAAGTCTTCAATAACCTTTTTCATTTTGTGTTTCTTCTTCTCAAAGACAAATCACAAAGCTAACCATCCGTAAATTCCCAGCCACTGCATTCTGCATGTGCCCAGATACCACAGACTGTGCATCTATACCAGAGTTCTCTGCCTTTCTCAAATTCTTCACAAATGAAATATTTTTCACAATCTGTTTCTATGTCATCCACTTCATTTCCGTCAAGAATATTTTGATCGTTTATGTCGGTGTCCTCTTCTGATGAAGTGAAGTCTACCTTTCCTTCAGATTCTTCCTGCAGCGTTTCTTTCTCTCTTGGAGGCTTGTTTCCTTATTTTGCATTTTCTTTGGAAATATTGATGTTTGCCTACTTTTACTTGCATTTCTCTTTAATGCCTAGCTTTCTAAAGAACCCTTCATGGGTGTCCCTGTCAGAATCTCCGAGTGCTGCTTGCCTCTGCTTTTTCTGCAATTTGTCCGTGGACCCACCGTAGGTAATGGAGATCCTTGACCGCCATTACCCCAAACGCGTAACCTCAAACGAAAGGCGCATTGCCATCAACTAGCACATCTACGCAGTTATACGAGGTGCGATCGGAAAGTTTCAAGACTGTGTCAATAGAGGGCGAACCGGATGTAGTACGAGCTTCTGCCGCTAGGGGGTGCGGCCTACATTCATAGTGAATCAGTGTGCCAGCCGGCATCAACGAATTAGCATTTGTTTCTTAGTTACGGGCGTTTTGGTAGTGCATTACACCGACCCTCCTGCGATTGCGGATTTTCATGAACAAAGAATGTGCACCAAATTTTGCCAAAGACTCGCCAAAACGGCTACGGAAACTTATGAAATGCTAAATCAAGCATTTGGGGAGTCCGAAATGGGTCGTGCACAAACTTTTGTGTGGCATTCACGTTTTAAAAATGGCCGAACCTCTGTCGATGATGACGAGCGTTCTGGACGACCATCTTCGAGCACAACGCCCGAAAATGTTACGAAGATTCGGCAGGCCATTCACGAAGATCGACGTCGTACCATAAACGACTTGTGCGACATTGTTGGGATAGGCTAGGGGACCTGTCAGCTGATTCTAAAGGAAGAACTCCACATGCGAAACCAAGGCTCCTGTCTGAGGACCAGAAGCAGAATCGACTTCTCGTTTGTCAGGAGCTAAAAGATCTTGCAAGAACCGACCCCAACTTCCTTCCTAAGCTCCGTGTGACTTCTTCCTCGTCCCAAAGATGAAAATTCAGCTAAAGGGAAGGAGATTTGAGACGATAGAAGACATTCAGGCAGAATCGCAGATGGTGCTTGACAGGCTGACAAAGAAAGATTTCCAGGGATGCTTCCAGGCTTGGCAGCGGCGCTGGGATCGTTGTGTTCACTCCCAGGGGAACTACTTCGAGGATGATGGATGAATTTAATACCTGAGATAAGTGCACGGGTTTTTATATTGGCACTCGTCATCTTGATCATCTCCTCTGCTTTCACTCGGGGCAAAACTGGATACCCCATTCTGCCCTACCCCTTCCTGCCCCGAGTATACACTTTCAAATTAGGATTGCTCACCAAAAATTACATCATGAAAATAAATAAAAATATTGTGTTAAGGCTTTCAAGAAAACACCTTGTAACATGCATCATTCAACAAAAGTGAATATGAACAATGAATAGGTCTTAGCTTCACTGGAATTTGAGAAAAAATTCTAAAATATAGGAGCAATTATGATTATGATTATTTCAGAAACTGTAACTACAAAATGGCGCTAACTGATATGACATGACCCTGTGCGGTATGCTAATGTTATTTCACCCGATCCCGATAGATCGCAACGCTTTGGAGATGAAATAAAGCCGATACCCTGTTCTGCCCCGTGGCCTCGTTCTGCCTTGGGCTCCTCTATACTTACCCACCCACGCGACTATATGGCGGAACATCACAGAAGTACACAATGCACAGAAGTGCAGTGCCGTAGTGTTTCAGGCAGCATTCGTTATAATGTCAAAACAAATAATAAGTAAAATTTTAGGTTTTTACGGCGGTAAGTTCGAAGAGGGATATCCTCTGGGTTTTAGTGCCGTTCAGTGTACATCAACGTTTCAGAGGTCCTCACTGCCTCCCTCAGGTATGATGCAGGCACTGCAAGTCAGAAGATAGTTTTCTGAAAACAAATAATATGAACCTACACTGTAGGTTTCATCCATTTACTTGTTTATATCTGGTAAGTATTTGTTTATTCTAAGCACACAACCTGGAATGATATGTACCCTACATGTGGCTTATATGCAGGAATATTGCTATGTATTTTTAGTGTGTATGTTATAACAGAAGCAGTTACTAACAGCTCGTTCCTGGTTTACTCACACGGAGAATAGTGATCGTGTAATTGTCTGAAACTGTTTAAAACGTTAGTAAACACATTGCGCTATTAAAACCGAAATTCTTGTCAACTACAAATATGTTAATAGGCCTTTACTTTACTGTAGCAATAATGAGCAATAATGTTCTGCAGACTTATACTCTGTAAGAACCTGTACCGATTCTAGTGTGCATGACCGAATCCTATTCTTTGTATTGTTGTGGTTCTCCCAGTAAATACTGGAATAGATCATTACCTCATTTTCCCAAAACCCCTCCTAGTCACCATTTTTTATCTTCTCACCTGATTAGATTTATTGTAATAATCCAAATGTGCCACGAAATATGTAATAACCGACAACTGACACTTTCATCAAACTGCATTTAAGCAGAGCTTCAAAGTGGAACTCGTTAGAAGAAAATGCATTAGAACTCCCGAAATAATATCTTGACCTTTTACCGTAGAAACGCAGTTTTACGTTTATTTAAATGCTGTTTATATTAAGCTGCCGTAAGGACTTAAACTCATATTTCTTGGACCTTTCAAACTGCAGTTAGTAGCTTCAGACACCAAACCGTCGCAATGCAGTTGAAATAGTGGTTGTTGGCTAACTGGGCCACTTTAAGGACGAACAATCAGTACACGACTGAAATATTGTTTCCTAATGGCTGATTCTCATTGAAGAGTATTTATTAGTTTGAAAGAAAATTTTGGTAACTCAGGTTTTGGGTAGTGGAAATAATTTTACAAATATTCAAAACAGTGCACCCAGATATACTTTAAAATGTTACCAAACACAATTAATTCATTGTTAGTGATCGTCAAAAGTACATGATTTTGGAAATAATTACCTCATTTTCCCAAAACCCCTCCTAGTCACCATTTTTTATCTTCTCACCTGATTAGATTTATTGTAATAATCCAAATGTGCCACGAAATATGTAATAACCGACAACTGACACTTTCATCAAACTGCATTTAAGCAGAGCTTCAAAGTGGAACTCGTTAGAAGAAAATGCATTAGAACTCCCGAAATAATATCTTGACCTTTTACCGTAGAAACGCAGTTTTACGTTTATTTAAATGCTGTTTATATTAAGCTGCCGTAAGGACTTAAACTCATATTTCTTGGACCTTTCAAACTGCAGTTAGTAGCTTCAGACACCAAACCGTCGCAATGCAGTTGAAATAGTGGTTGTTGGCTAACTGGGCCACTTTAAGGACGAACAATCAGTACACGACTGAAATATTGTTTCCTAATGGCTGATTCTCATTGAAGAGTATTTATTAGTTTGAAAGAAAATTTTGGTAACTCAGGTTTTGGGTAGTGGAAATAATTTTACAAATATTCAAAACAGTGCACCCAGATATACTTTAAAATGTTACCAAACACAATTAATTCACAATCTCGGGATTGCTCATCATTTCACTTCAGCTACGCTGTCTGTACACATCCTATGTTGGTGATTCGTGATTGAAAAGCAATCGACCAGACGGTAACGTTTTTTACGTACTTGAATTTTAACCGAATCCCTTAGAGATACATGAGAGAAAAATACATAAGAAAACCACGACTAACATTTGGATTAAATTCGTCGAAAATTCAGTAATGCTGAAATGTCTCTTTTAGTATGAAATATATTATAACAAGGATTGTTTTAAAATCAAATTTTTATATTCATATTCGTTTAGAATTGGTTTTGGAGACACTGACTTTGAAGGACTCTTAATTTGTGACATGTAGTATGTGTTGGCTTCTAAACCTATTCATTGTTAAGCGTTTACCAAGTACTGGTTAGGGACTCCAATGCAAGACTGTACGGGAAAATCCTAACAGGCCCAGCCTTCCATCTTGCTGATAGTCCTCCTTCCTAAAGGAAATTTCAGACAAGTATTTACAGTTGTGTTTGCGAGGGAATGGGTAAGGAAGTTCCTGTTACATAGAAAGGACGTGGAAACCGATAAAGAGACTCGTGACACGGCATCTTTTAGTGATACAGACTCAGAATGTAGCTCATTCTACAAAGCGTGTTTTCTGGAAAATACGTGTGTTACTGTATGTGTCTTTTGAGTTGTATGTCGCTTATAAACAGAGTTGCATCATGGGAGGTCTTGAATTTGCACTGGTTCAAATGTAAGTATCGTAGTTACCTCTTAAGTTAAGCTCCAGTCCCATTATATTTCCTTTCCTTTTTAAACGCTGCATTCCTGATGAGAGGCACGAGGATTTCTAAAATTTCTGTCGATTTTCTGTGCAAGATGGTAACTATTTTTATCTGAAGGCACAATCAAAACGTAAAGAAGCACAAAAAACTATGCCGTGACATACCCCAAAACTATTCCTAAACATAAGGTTTCCCTCTTGATCAACAAAGAACAAAACAATGCAGACGTAACGCAGAGTGAAGGTATAGCTGCACGCATATCGGAACCTAGGAACAATGGTGCCCTGGACGAACATTATTCACTGAGCTTCCAACTCTCCAGTTCCTAAACACAGACCGGCTATACAGCATTAATACTCTTTTATACGGTAGTGAAAACTAGACAATCAGAGCAGCAGATGCATCAAGAATAAGAGCAGCAGAAATGAAATACACGAGAAAAACAGCAGGTTACAATTGGATGGATTACAAAACTAATAAAGAAGTTGTAGAGGAGTTGAAAATAGTTCCAGTATTAGAAAAAATAGAAAATTATAAAACAAAATGGTTTGAACATGTAGACAGAATGGCAAGAAGCAGGCTACCTAAATTTTTAAGAAATTATGTACCAAAAGGAAGAAGAAGTCGGGGAAGACCTCTGAAGAGGCTTTTGGAAAAGTGAAGCCGGAACAGGCCAACAAATGGCCTAACTCCATGAAAGCTACATGATGATGATGAATTAATAATCGTCGAAACCAGAAGAATGATGATAATTTGCGCCCTAGCAAATGTCTGAACAGATTAAGAAACTTCACAAGTCAGGCATCTGGGGTTCTTCAAGAAATACAGTGTGTCTACAATGAAACGCCCTGATTTTGGAGAGATTTTAAAAACACTCAAATGGTTTTTTCCAGGTCTTAAGGGCCTCCTGCGTAATACAGGAGTTCAAATTCCCGCATAAATAAGTAAGATATACGTTGCCACCCGAAGCTTACTTGGGCTTTATAAGTTATTACTTTTTTGTGCAGCAGAAGTTTTGTTAGGATAATTGTATTGAAAGTGTTAGCTCTGTATGGGACCCAGTAGTTCATTTCCAGTCACATGAGCAAGCTACAGGTCCCTATCCCGAACCAGATATATTAAATCCACACCAACGCCTCTTCCCTAAGGTAACATTTGGTGCTATTTTCATTCTATGACTGGTTTTATGTTTTGTATCTTCCCTTCAGGCTTTTAAACTAAAGTGTTTTCATTTTGTGCGTATTTGTGATCTCTCCCCGTGATCGCTACATGCCCTCTGTCATCTCGTCTATGATTAGTTTGTTCCAAAGAATCCGGTACAGTCTAAAGCGCTGTGTAAGTTTTCGTAATATGCTGGTTCTCTAATTTCAGGAGCTATGAGGGGCCCCTACACCCAACACACAACCCTAAGTTCCTTGTCTCTTCGTGAAAATTCGCAGCTATTCCCATACCTTCAGGCTTCCCTCATTCACGTCTTGAGGATGCATCATGCCGTGGTAACAAGGGACCAATGTAAAATGTGCTCTGGCTCTGATACAGGAAGAAACAGTTGAATATGACAGACGATGATAAAACAATCACAGGTTTAGCATTCCTAATAACGAACAACACCGACGTTTGGGATTTGAGGTTTTCACAGCGGTGAATACGAAGATGGCAGCCTTTTGGGTTTAGCGCCATCATCACCCTGAAGATGGAGGCAGTTATAACCTCTGAAAAGTTGAAGAAAATTGTACCCGAAGGACGGTTGACTGGCAATAATCCCCTCTCCCTCCAACAAACACATGTCTTATTATATTGCGTTTTCAACTTTTCTTGGTTCGACCCCTAGACATCTACGCAATTAAAAACTATTTAGCAATTGCCCTGCGCTAACGATCTGTAAGCCACACCTAAGGCCAGTCCAGGCTGCATTATTTCTCGGCAGTATGGCGAGTGGTTAGCTACACGCTCCGGTCGTTTTAATCCAGAGAAAATAATGACGGTGCCAATTCAATACGAGGCAAGATGTGCCTCAGAGTCGATCTGAATGCTGCAGCGAATATAAAAATCCTGCCCTACTAGGAATCTAGTTTCGGTCATCCATCACTTAAGGTCATAAGAACTGATTTTTCCCGGCTCTTCTAGCAGTTCTGTTTCGTCACAATTTCAGCAAATCTAGTTAAGGAGTGCCCTGTAATCAGCAATGCAATTACGCACCAGCTTCCTGTTAAGGAATTAATGACCACTGCAACACAGCCTTTTACTGTGAAAAAGTTATTGGTTCACATCTCGCGACGTTTGTGCCCACTTTAGGCCTATTCTGACTTGTCTCTAAATGGAATTATTTACCTCGATTCTGGGCTCTGTGTACAACATATGAACAAAGATAAAAATTTATGTATTTATTTGCCTTAAACAAGGGGAAGTTCATCTTCTGGCGAGTTTCGATGCGTCACTGTCGTTAGTTTGTTAACGCCGCTGTACCAAATACTTGTATTATATTCATCATAGAAATTCTGAACTACGAAAAAGATATGTTGGAATAACAGTCTTTGCTTCTTTTGTAAAATGTGCAATTTTGTTATTTAATGCTAAGGAGATCAGAAAACTGAGTCAGCACATCCTTTCCGGGTCTAGAACTCTCGAAATGTAGTTCAATAATTCAAAGTAACAATCCACTGTTCTGTAAGCAAGATCATTTGAGTTATAGACATGAATTGTGTACGGAAATGTCGTAATGTAGACAAAATACAAATAAAGTATTATATGATTTCAGGCTTTCCTGCATAGCTGCGCTCCATTTTGAGAATTTTGTGTCAGCTGCAGGTGAGTTGTCTGAATACCTTATGGTCTTATATTTACCGACCGCATGAAACGGATTTCTCGGGAACGTAAATGCGTTTGAACAAAGGTTCTATTAATAATTTTTGTGTCAAGATTGACGGCATGAAACATGACATGCTGGTAAAAATATCGTAGAATTTTGACATTCGCTAAACGTCGAATTTGTGTTCGGTAAGAATATGTTTCTAGCAAACTTCTAAGTTGCTGTAATGGAACTGTGATGCCTACAATTTAATTAAAATTCTTCCAAAGACTGTAGAGTTTTCAAAAACACTTCTTTCGGCGTGCCCCACAAATAACTGTTACTAGTATTCGAATTCGGTGATCGCGAAGGGCCACAGTCCTTTACTTATGAGTCGTTCGCCGAAGACTTCATCTGGCACAACAGAATTGTTCGCAGTGTGTGCTGTTGCATTATCTTGTATAAAATGCTTGTGCAGTTTCCTTCATCAATCAGCTGACCAAACAAGGGCGACAGAGTCAATTTCACGTAACGTTCCGATTTTGTTTTGTGAAAAGTCACAGCCCTGCGCCCTAACTGCACAACAAATCTCGACTTTGAAATGATGTAATTGAACTTCATGAACAACATGAGGGTTTTCACTCTTCCATTATCCATTATTTAAGCTGTTTACGTAACCACTAATGTAATTTCTAAATCAAAAGTAATTTGAATACCGATTCCTGAAACCAGCATTTCATGCTTCACAATTTGGAGGCAAATGGCTGTGAACGACTGTAGTTTGTAAGACCTTCACTTTGGAATGTGAGCTGTGCATTCTGTTGAAGAGCCAAAAGGCGTAACGGCTTGTTCGGGATTCCATCTAATCGAAGTCAATACATTTTATTCATTTATTTTTTTGGTAAAGCGCCGATTCCGTCGAAAGTAATTTTGTTACTTTTATGTAAATAGTTGTTTTTCACGGCACTGAAAGATCACGATACCTCCTACTAAACTTATTACGGAATTTTCCCTGATGACATTCACTGTACGAATGCATCGAATAGTTCTGTTCAACACTACATTTTATTTTTGTACACTAAATTTAAAATCACTTACGAACTGCGTTTGAACGAGTCTCAAGACTGCAAAGTTTAAAGGTGATGAAACCAAAAATGCGTGGCTAATAATGTATAGCATGAAGCAATCATAATTGGGATAAACAATTTTCTCAGTTCGTAAACTTAGCTGTCAATAAACGCGTCTTGCTGAGTCAACAATCCTCCTACGTTAGTTATAGAAGTAGTCACCAGTTAAAATAACCAAGTGAAGGGAAGTGATTGTGCAACCGATATCCCCACATTTAACCACAAGTGATAAATTCATTTGCATATATAACACTCAAATAACAGTGTGTTGCATCATAGAAATTTGAATCCATCGGCAGCCATGCACATAATTCACAGCTATCCCTTGTGTTATAAAGTGTACTGTAACAGCAACATAACTGTAGTTACATGACATTGCTGCAGAGAAAACAAGAGCTCCATGGTGATAAGGGTGATAAGTTACATGACAGGCCATGTGGCTGTGATGAATTACTTACTAATACATTTTGACTCATTGCGCAAAATGTCAAGGGAATTCTTATAGTGATCTGAGTACATTTCCTCAATTTCCACGTTATATTATAAGCTTTATGTACGTCACCATATTTTTAAGATATTCCATTACATTTATCGAATACCTTTGAAGGAAAGGATACTAATACGTACATCTTCTAAACCAAGTGGTGGAATGTGCAAAGAAACACAATTTCCCCGTAAAGTGTTCTACACTGTAAAATATGTCATGGACTTTACAGAAGACGTTTGAAAGTTTGAAAAATTTGTGAAAGAGATGAAAAATTGCAGGTAGTTGTGAACATTGTTCGTGGATATAGAAAAATTAGGAAAGTGTTGTATACGCAAGATTTCAAATTTGTGTAATACTTTAGACTAGACTAGCAGACTAATATTAAACTTTGTTAATAACTGGGGAATTTGGCAATGAAAATATTTAGCGATATGATTCTTAAATTAAACATCAGTTTCCCATGTGGAATATTTCGCTTGTAAACGCCATGAAGATCTATCAGATTCCTTCAAAGGAAGGCTGAGTTGAAGACTTTCTGCAATGGTAAGGTATTGTTTTTCAAAATGGCAAATTTTTAATTTGAAGATATTGATTTTATAAATTGAAATTTTAGTGCAATTATTCTGTGGTCAGTAAAGAATGGCACAAGAATTTCTGTTGTTGTCTGCAGAAGGAAATTTCCCTGAAGTGCTATGAAATATAGTTGCCAAAGATTGGGTGTTCTAGCATGATTGCCTTGTACCCTGTGCATATGCAGCAGCAACTGCCTAGGAACATTACCTTTGTTCTTCCTCACTACTATGCTATCCTTATCCACATGTCCTTTCTGCGAAATGGCTGTCACTTCAAGGATGCATCAGAGGTTGAGTAGCTAAAAAACATTCTGTTGCATGAGGTATGTGTTTTTTCCAGAAGTGTTTTCAATAGCTATACAACCAGTCTTAGCATACCTTCTGGCTTACTCAAGGTAGGAGGATCTCATAACTCGGGTTTACTACACAGTGACTTTAGGTACTGACAGAAGATGGGAAAGTAGTGAAGACTTGTAGGTTGCTGAAGGAAAATGTTAGGTTGGTCGCGCTGATGGCTGTGGATCATAATGGAGATGGTTGCTCTACTGGAGATGATACTCTGAATAATGATGTCATACACTTGATGTTACTGTGTTTCATATTAATAATATTACATTAAACATTTGCATTGTCTTTATGCAATGATGCTCATACACATTTTTAATAACTAAGTTCCCAGTAGACAATTTTATACAAGTTGACAAACGAATAAAGGTAAAACTGTTTTCAGAGCTGAAATTTTAAATTATGCAGTATGGGTGGTACTACAAATCATGTGAATGAATGCTCAAATGCATGTGCCTTGTGACCAAGATGATCTAAGCACCCTGGATATTGACATTCCCTTCTCCATTTGAAAACAATGTGTTTTGAACATTCATATGTGATTGGATGTGACTGTAAACACTTAAAATGTTTTCCAACCCTTACTCATTGACTTTGTAAGATAGAATGTGATTGGCTGTACTGACTGCTTGGAAACATTGTTAAGCCAGGATGTATTTGACTGGAATGAATTTAAGTACAATTCTAGAATATCTTTTTTCTATTCGAAATGTCCAAGTTAAATAATTCATAATAACAAAACATTGCTGAACTCCTATTTCTTCTTACTGCTACATTTTCAGTCAGACATCTACATCTCGTACATCAATCTGAATGCACTGTTTGGGATATGTTCAGAAGTTTCATGTAGCTGGATAATTAACAAATGTACACCTGCTGAGAGACAGTATTTTGAATGCAGGCGGTCTTAATGCCACTAGACAAAAGATACTTCTCCTGTGCCAGAAAATGTAATGCTGGTACATATGAAAACATCTCCACTTGACTATATTAAATCACTTTTTGTTGCATGAACTTTGCCATGCTTTTATTTTAATATTTTAATTATGATAATTCTTTATAATAATCCATGAATAATTTCTCTTTTATGCTTTTCAGCTTGTCCAGATGGTACATTTGGGGTGAACTGTAAGGAACAATGTGGAAAATGTTCAAAAAATATTTCCTGTGACAAAACTGGAGGTATGTGTTCAGGTGGCTGTGAGGGGAGATTTAGGCCTCCACTATGCAAGATGAGTAAGTACACTTTACACAATTAAATACTTTTGGAAATTAGGTTTATTTTGTGACTTAATTACCCTAGCAGAAGCATTGACAAATTAGTTTGTGTGTGTGTGTTGGGGGGGGGGGTTACTTAAGCTGGGAAAATTACTCTCTAGATGGTATGCTGGCAAATGTCAAAGCTGTATGTTATCTACAAGACAGCAAGTCGAGCCGAAATAAAGGCGGTCCGATGTCTAACACAACTATGTTGGGACCCCGAAATTTCAAATAAAATTGTCCAAGTGTTAAATGACAGATGCAGCGTCTGACGTTGACATTACCCATGCCTTGTTCCATTTCAAATATTTACCCTAGTAAATTCAAAATATTGTTTTCTGAATTGTGTATAATCAATATCAAATATCATTTGATTTCTTGGCAGCTCAGGTCCGGAAGAATGCCATATCATTAGCCATTCATTGCCAGGGGATTCACTTTGATCAAATTCGTTATCTACTATAACAATTTGTGATTCGTCGTCTGTCAAAAAATTACGTCATCAACAACGTTAACTTATATTTTTTTACACTCGGCATTGTTGTGGAACACAACAATTTCGAGTAAACAAATAACGCTTCACAACAACGAGATCTCCAACTACCAAGCCAGTCGCATTATCAATGCTCCAGAAGAAAAGAAGAAAAGTGAAAGAAGACGTTATCAACTATTTAAAATACCAACACCAACAAGGTAAACTGATACTAATAATACTACTCATTGAAGTCATTCTATATATTACGATTACGAAAACTATTATGAAATCTGACTTTATGATCGATTATAAGACGAAGATTTGCAAGGGTGGGGCTGGGCGTAGAAAGTTGACTGTTTCTATCTATCTTACTATAAAAATTTGTGATTCGTCGTCTATCAAAAAATGACGTCATCAACAATGTCAACTTATATTTTCTTACACTCGGCATTGTTGTGGAAGACTCGGACAAAGAAAAGTTCAGTGAAATGGTGACACCCGAATACTTAAACACTTTGCAACCACGATCATAGCCCCCACATACTTTGCGACTACGTAACAACGCTATTGTCAAGTTGGGGAGGATTAGTTAATGGAACACGTTTATTAGTGCAACAGATGACCAACAACCTCCTTCAATGTATGGTCACAAAGGGAGATCATTCCGGTGAAATTGTTTTTATTCCACGTATAAAACTATACTGTAAAAGCGAATACCCATTTACCATGTGGAGACGTCAATTCCCCGTAACGCTTGCCTTCGTAATCACTATCAACGAAGCTCAGGGCCAAACGTTCAAACCAATTGGCATTTGTTTAGAACAGGATGCTTTCGCACATGGACAAATCTACGTAGCATTTTAACGTGCACCAACGACAATTGTATATTTGTTTATCTAAAAAAGGATGAGAAAATAATGTCATTAAATCATTGTCTATAGAGAAACATTGAACGAACAGAGCATGACAGACAGGAGGGCAGAAGACATTAAAAGAAAAGAACGAAAGCGACAACTTGAAATGAATCTTAACGAAATTAAAAGTGAAACAGTTGAACATGTTGTTAAACATGTAAAAGTTGAAGGGAAAAAAAGAACAATAACTTATGAAGAGAATGAACAACCTATACAGAGAGTGAAGCAGAATAAAACGACGACTACACGTGAAATTGTGCCAACTATCGAACATTTGAAACTGGAGAATGTCAATGGATCAGACTGTTTTTTGATTTCTTCACTAAACAAGTTGAATTCAGCTGCTATGTTCGTCGAAAGTCTAAAAGAAATGATATTCAATGAATACAGCGGCGACAACAATGGTGTAGAATTGATCTCCGAGATTGCAAACGCATACAGACATCCTCAAAACATACATAATGTCCTTTCAATATGACAAAACCTTAATCGAGATTTGAGAATAGGTTTCCAAAGTGTCTACGAAATGATCTACAACATTTTCAAGAATTTACCTATTGAAATGCAAAACCTGTTTGAATATCAGACAGTGAATACAAAAACATGTAGAAATGATCATCAACGTCAAGAACGTTATAGAAACTAAATATTGGTAATGAACTTACCACAAGTCACGTTGACAAACTTCAGAAACTTATTAGACCATCAAACACAAACAGATCTGTACGGAACGTGTATGGTATGTCAACAACACTACGTATGTGGAACGAAAGAAATTATTGTTAGTGATCGTCAAAAGTACATGATTTTGGAAATAAATAGATTGACTCTAAATGGATTACGCACATTTGAAATAATGAGAATGAGACAAGACAACCAATTTATGTATGGAAAATACTGGAAATTTCAAAGTGCGGTCGAATGTGTAGACATTAAAGGTACTGGAAACGACGGACATTTTATTACTCATAGTATTTTAACAGACAATACGTCCTTATCGAATAATATATCGAATATTGGCAAGGGTGGAGTTCGACGTAGAGAGTTGACTGACCAAGAACAGTTGGCCTCTGAACAGCTACGTAAAGAACTAAAACATCAGACCATAAAGAAGTAGAATATCAGGTAGAGACTGCGCTCCGGAAGGAGCGCGTTGCTCTAGTATCATTATAAAATGAGCATACAAACAACTGTTTACACTATGTAGGATACTAATGCAAAACGCGTTTCAACCTAACCTACATAGTGTAAACAGTTGTTTGTATTCACATTTTATATTCCAATACACTACACGGTACGCAAGGTTTTAAGATCATTATATCACTGTCAGCGGTATGAACTGTTTCCTTGTTACCTTGGTGCAGAATTTTCAAAATGTCGACTCTAATAGCATGCAGGATAATGACTCTTTTTCCCTTTACCACACAATTATCAAGGAGCGATAATTCATTATGTAACAAATAATAGGTTTGAGCATAGCCAAGGTGCCTAAGATGCAAGCCCGAACTTATGTATCCCTCAGTTTCCTGAAGTTCTTCATCTTGGGTCACGAGCTACTTAGCTAATCTCTACCAAGAAATGGGGTTGCCACAACGTTAGACATGCCAAATGGTTTCAGATATCAATATTCGTTATCATTGGTACAAGAAATGGTAACTCTGCCAATGACAGTGACCCTTCCCTCCATGATGGATTTCAAACTGTTCGGAGGAGGCTCTAGAGAATATGGGCACTTATTGCATATCTGACTTGGCTTGATGGACATGGAAGCTCTTTTTCCCTCCTCATATAAGGCTCCACTGGAGATAGATCACTCCACGCTGTCCCTGAATGTGTTTTCATTCTTCTGATGTACAGAGTTCAAACAGTAACGTTTAAATGATTGAAAAATTTCTCAAATCATATTGACTATTTTGGCTATAACCGGATAATTGTTAACTTAACTGCACTTTATTGAGTTTTTTTCCTTCCTTTTTGGCACCACATGCAACAGTTGTTTGACATTTTGTTGACAATTGTAGCATTTCCAAAAGATAGTGTGTCAGTTCTTTGCCTCATAGCATTTCTGTATGTCCTCACTATTTATTTGTTCCTGGTAGGTGATGGGGAAATGCCTTTTCTTGGCCAAGGATTCATGCATGTAATTCCTCTTCCAACAGTAACTGACAACTGTATCAGAGACACATATCAGATTTAGAATATATGTGACTCACTTGACTGAAGGATACTTCATGACTCCAACTTACTTTGAGCAGCTTCCATTGATATTAATTTTACAACTACGTTCACTGAAGGTTAATAGACTTGATATCATCTCTGAGAACATAGATCAACTATTCCAAACATTGAAGATTTCTGTCTTCTGGGTTATTGAGCTGTGTAGTCTGGTCGATGTTAACCAACGTTTCAGAGGTCATACTGCCTCCGTCATCAGGGCGATGAATATGCCAATAGGGTGTGAGGAGTTGGATTTATAGGCAGGGAAGTGAAAGGTGTAGCCTGCCCCGAGCCAGTGGGAGCAGGTATGGGAGTGGACCAATGGTAGCACGTGGGCGAGAGTGGGAGAGGGAGAGAAAATAGAGAGAGAAAGGTGAGTTTAGTTGTATGGATCAGGGCCCTGAAAAGGGCCGAGTTAGTGGTCTGGTTGGTTCTGGCGGCGCACTCTTGCTCGTTCTCGGAGTCCTCGGAGTGTGTGGATAAGAGGCTTCCAGGACCGGCTCAGGTGAAGTCCATCTTCCCTGTTAAAGTTATCAGGATGAAGTTCGATCTCGATAGCTTCCCTGATTAACCGATCCATGTAGCCGGTTTTTGAGGAGAGGATAGAAGTGTCCTCTAGTTGTATCTTGTGTTCCAAGTTGAAGCGGTGTTCAGCAACCGCAGATTTCTCGGGCTGCCCGAGCCGGATGTGGCGTTCGTGCTCCTTGATCCTGGCCTCAAACCTTGCCCCATTTTGCTCTGTACCCGGGGCAAGACGGAGTACGGTTGACATATGTTTGAAAAGTTGTGAGAAGACATAGATTATCTAAAAATTATGACGTAGGATATAAAAATAATTTAGTATACAATGTAAAATATCGAAACTTTACACATTTGAAATCTACTTAGGCCTAATGCACACATGAGCACCTCATCATCATCGTGACTACCAACACCTACACATGAGTTTTGGGCCCATTTCAAGAAACCGGATCCACCCTTCAATAGATTGCGAATAGACATCACCACATTATACAGGCACTTGTCATTTGATACTCTTCTCTGGGTACCCCATTCTGCCCTACCCCATCCTGCCCGAGTGTACTCTTTCAAATTAGGATTGTCCCACCAAAAATGACATAATGAAAATAAATAAAAATATTTTGTTACGGCTTTCAAGAAAACATCTTGTAACATGCATCCTTTAGCAAAGTGGATATATAAATAATGAATAGGACTTACATGCGCTGGAAATTGAGAAATATTTCTAAAATATAGGAACAAAATCCAGCATGGGTGATTATTTCAGAAAGTGTAACCACAAAATGGCACTGACTGACATGATCCTGTGCTCTATGCTAATGGTATTTCACCCGGTCCCGATAGATCGC